CTAGCCCTCTTGTATCTGGAAAAAGTAAATAGTAGGGAGGTCAAGTGCTAGCTACCCTGGTAGCAATGATGCACCGCTGACCGAAACATCGCACTTTAGATGCCTGGTTGTAAAACTGGGAATAAGTACTACGGGAACGACGTCTGGAACCAAGCATCGGGTAAAACCGGTGTGGACGTCTGGGATCGGATTCGTAGTGGCAGTCACTTATTTATTTATTTGACGATAGTGGTTATTGACCGCATGCTGGTCAGGCGAAAGCTATCGGTGAGTATTCTCCCGGGAGCCTAGCCACTCTGCCGATAGGAGTATATCATCGTGCGGTTGCTTAAACCATATTAAGCAGCGGGTTGGATAGTGCCGCGGCTTTACCAGTAGTCGGCAAAGAGAAATGATTACACCTCGAAGCTAAACTGGTAGCCAAGTGAAACCCCCTTGCTACCGGGGAGTCCTCACGGCCCCTCCGTGTAGAAAGGGCGTTCGGACAGTCAAGTCCGATCTCACATGGCGATGCCGACCGGACCGCAAGGAAAGGAAGGTGCCTTCGTTTGAAGGGTGACGAGTTTGTAACTCACATACCTTTCTACGAAGTGTAGGACCTAGTCCACTTTTGGAACTCTATGCCCTAGAATATTAATCTACTTTTAGATGTTGTGTCACAACTCACAATATATCGTCTATCGGCACTTGACATATTTTACAAAAGAGAATACTGCCATCAGAAGAAAATATAGTGTCACTAAATTCTGATACATAATTTTTTTAAATGGCTAATTTAATCGGTTTGACTTTTGGCATTTTAACGGACGAAATAGATGCGACAAAGTATAACGAGGGCCACAAAAACGTACGGATGATTCTAGCAACCCCACTACTGTTAGGATTTTGGTATTTTTAAACATAACTGAATGCTGATAGACAAAAGTATATGTTTTTGAGGGACAAGTTTTTATCTTAACGACCAAAATGCGATAATCGCTCTATAGAAATAATAACTATATATTACAACAAGTATAGAAATTTGTTCACTGCTACGTTTAGTTACTTTTATTTTATATATATTAAGTTATATAATAGTTAAAATTGCAGTAAAATTAAAAAACTCGCCAAAATTGCATTTATTGCAATATAATTTGTTTTGTTTAAATTACGAGTTTAACGAAACATATTTTAAGCTCACTCAACAATAAATATAAGCATTTACAAAAAACATGCAAATTCAACAACTTCACTGCCCTAGTTATAATCATTGTGTGTTGTGTCTTTATTATTTCTCTATGATAATCATTTGTGATTTGCCCATGTTCTCGTTTTTCAATATATTATATTTATTACAAAACTCGCAGATGACTACAATTGAAATTGATAAAAATATTTCTTCATTACCTAAGTTAAATGTACGTTGGTGTTTATGGCATACACGAAAACCACCATAAAATTATTCACATTTTATTCGCATGAACTTGCAATCAGTTGTATAGGTATATTGATAATTTTTTTATTGAGTATATATTTCAATTTTCAACAGTGAAATGATCTCATTCTGTTATTGTTTTTTCAAGCACAAAAGGAAATCTTATTATGTGTTTCAGTTTTGACGATTCTGAATATTTATGATTTAAAGTTATGATAGTGGTTTTCAATGATTATTTTAGGGATATATGATACCACAGTGTCATATCAGTGATATATATTATTTTTTCTTTCATATTATAGTGTTAAAACAAATCGTTGTAAAAAGTCCATTGTTTCCAAGTCCGTGGAAAAAAGTTCACTGATGCTTAGTATCCTTAAAGTATAACTAAAAATCAATAATTATAATTACTAAGTCTTTTTCAATGAAAAAATCGAATTAAATTTATTCTTACAAAAAAAAAAATATGTATGAATTGATGAGTAAAACTCGACAAACTGGATCATTTAGATAAAAATAATAGTTCAATATTACGTGCTCCCAAAAAATTGAGCAGTGTTCAAAGTCCAAAGAAAGTAGTTATACCTATCATTAAAAAGTTGTGATACTGCATTACTGCTGATATTAATTAGGACCTACAACAATATTAGTTTTTAATTTCGTCAGATAAATAATTTAATTAAAAATTGTATTAATACTAATTGAAACATTAATAGTTCACCGCATTACATTTTTTTTCCTAATTATTATATGAACCTGACTTTTTACGCTTCAGAATTTTTGTTACCTAGTCTACCGGTTGGAACTCAGGCAGTTTCATTATTATAAGTATTGGTAGTACTAAACTAAGCAAACGAGTACTTATATAAGAACATTTAATTTATATTACCTTATGCAAATATATAGGTATTTAATATTTATGTTATAAATGTATCCATAATAGTATCTGATATTATATTATTAAGGATCGTTGTTATGATAGCCATTTTATTTGGATGGGTGTTTTTTTGTTGAAATGTTCGTATAAGTATTATTTGTTATTGGCTTATCACTATAGATATAATTTTTTGTAATTTATAATTATGCGTTAACTGTTAATTTTGAACTAGGTTATAAGATTCGTGTAGATCTCTATCTGGGAATATTCAAATACTTAATCAATTTATTTTGAAAAATATACATGTGAATTTTAATACAATACCTCGAAATATGCGAAATAAAATAAATAATGTTGATCTACCTAGTGATTTCGACCCATTTAATAAATATATGCAAACAACATGTGGACTTTTGGGCTCTAATAAAGACCATAACCGGCAATAATTGGTATAAAATGTATGTAATATTATAATCTAACTATTCGAAACAGAAAATTGGCTATTAAACCTGCAGGGTAATTCACAATGTGCATACCACCCTCCAAAAGAGAAAGGCAGTATATTCAAAACAAACATTTTGGAAGAATGAGCTTTACGATTTTTTTTATTTTAGATTCTGAGCGGAGTGATGCAAGATGTAAGTTTTTCAATTATTATTTATGTCTGTGTAGGTACACATAAGTAGTCAAAATAATACCTTGATTTTCAACTTCAGTAATTTTTCTGGTGGGAAAGTGATTCTAATTGCAATCCAAAGGTAGAAATCGGAAATTAACAGCAGTTTTCATAAGCGTCGGAAAAACAAAAAATAATTTAAAGCAGGAATTTATACGTAGGTATATAATCAGTTTTCGACAAGACCGATTTAGTTCTTTGGTGTAACTAAAAATAAAATAACTGTAGATTTATGAATTTTTCATCGATTTGTATTTTATATACACCATACAATTTTCAAAATATTTTGACTTTTTTTGAGCTATTTATAGATATTTAAAATTTTGGATTTTTTTTATTATTTCCTATAAATATCGACAAACGCTCTTTGTGGGATCAAAAAAATTGAAAATTTAATACAAGGTTCCTCATAAGTTGTTTTAATGGCAGCTCTAAAATATTGTGGATATCACGATTTTTTTTTTACAAGCACTTAAAGTTCAAATTTTGTCAAAATTCATCAAAAATTATTTTATTAGGTTTACTCACCTATTTATTGATTTTTTAGGGAATACTGCATTTTACTTTAGGATTACAACATTTTACAAATGTAGTAAACTAGTAACTTCATTGTATTTAATTGTGTTTAATTTTTTTAAAGTTATTAGACAACAACAGTCAGCAAACATAATGTAATTAATTTTTATAACCTTTCTTCTTTGGACGGCAGTATATAATATGTATAATGTATCATGATATGTTTATCATAATAATATGTAGATACCTACCTAACGTCCTAACTTATTGCATATTATACATATAATAATTATTGTTTATTATATACCTATTTAGGTAATACAAAATAAGTTATAAGTAACAGACTTTAAATGTTGTCGTTGTTGATATAAGGGAGTGTGATGAATTATTGGTTAACCGAGGTGCTATCGTTGGATTTGGACATTCATTCCGTGTGTATAGGTAATGCAATTTTCCAATAACGGTTTTATGTATAGGTATTTGTATTTAGAGTGTGTGAATACACTGTACAGTCAGCCGTCGGTTTACGTTCCTCCGGTAAATTTATGTATACGAAGCAGACTGGTATTAATCACGCTGAGTGGTGAAATATCTCATTTAAGGTACATTTAGGTAATGTGTGGGTATTTATTCTTGAAAAGTAATATTGTTGTCAAAACGAGAACGCGGCCGTTTGTGGAACGTACTTTCCGGTAAACGGCATAATAATATTATTCGCTCGTAATAATATTTCCAGAACAACGAACTGTCGAATAGATTGTATCGAAAAAAAGAGTACCTACTTGCGTGGTGGTTATTCGCCTGCATAATATATTATTATTATTATGATTAGGAGATGCCTACCTCCTACCTATCAGCTAGAGTGTCATCGTCTTTTATCTGGAACACGTGTATTATTATTGTGGTACTATTTGTGATACCAATTTGTTGAACGACGAGCCCGCTTTAAAATTAACATGGGTATACATGTTTTACATTTTTGGTGTCACATAAAAACTAACCACAAGTATACGTCGTTTAGGGACCTACTTGTCGTCGATACAAGTGTATATCCAAGTCGTAATGATGTGCACGCGTTTACAACGACCACCGATCAGCTGTGACCATGTATACAGATATGTATACATAATATAGGATACATCATTGTATAATATTATATACATTTTTTGTATCACCACCCCTTTACATCTCACGTACATTCCCCCTGCAACGAGCGCCAGTACTGCAAATTTATGAAAATCTTATTCATACGCAGGTATACAGACGCACAGCCAAAGCACAACGCGAAATCCGTCTACCGGGAATAGTATTGTTGTTGTTGTTATTATTATAGTCATGTATATATATGTGTAACATGTATACTATGTTTTTTTTATTATTGCTTTTTTTTTTTTGTATAAATTATTATGCGATATCGAGTTGACCCGAACCCGGTTCGTCCGCGTGACCTCCAAATCAGACGGCGGCGGCAGTTGTAGCGGTAGCGATGGCGGCAGCAGGCCGCGCTGGGAGATTGATATAATAATAATATTATTTTTCGTGTGGTCAGTTTCCCAAACGTCGTTGTGCGTGTACGCAACTGCGTGCGTACGTACTTGTACTGCCGTCTACCACGTAGTTCTGTCCGCCGTCGTCTTCGAAAGTTCCTCCGCTGTGCCAACCCTCCACGGCGACTACCCTTCAAACAGTAACAGTAATAAAATACCTAATTTTAACAATATTGTTATTGTATCGCGGACAGTGCGTGTGTGCGCGTATATGTGTTGGTTCTGTAGTGGTGCGCGCTAAGTATTTTGTTTTGCACTATTTTTGTATTTTTTTTTGTGTTCGGAGGACGATTTCACTTGTGAAACAATCAGTTGCTGCAGTCCAGCATTTCGTCGCCCTTAATTGCAATATTACAGGTATACTATCGCCCTCTTATTTTATTCACCTATATTTTTTACTGCCATAAAAATATAATGACCCGGGCTCTACTATTTTCCTCCCGATGTACTTTAACGGTATGTACAGCGATCAGACTATGAAACGAACCAGAATATAGTAAACATACAGCCATATAGGTAACGTATCAAAGGTTAAAACCATCTATTTTTTACTCCGCATGTCTTGTTATTGTTTTTGAGAGACGTGCCAACGAAAATACCTAAGTCTGTATAACTTTATGCCAGTTTTGATTTATTAAATTTTAACAATGTGCATTTATTTAGCTTGTCTTATAACCACTGACGTATCAAAATAATAAGACGACGTAATATATAGGTTTGTATTTTATGTAAATATAAAGTTATTGTACAGTTGGGCTAAATATCGCAGTATCGCACTATTTAATAATACCTATGTATGTTTAAATACATCATATTATTATGTTACGAGTTATTTCAGGGTTGTAAGGTTACATTTTAATTCAGTCTCGTTCATTGTTATATCAATTATTAGGTACGCACGTGTTTATGTGCCTACAGTTCTATGTTTTTGTCATAATTAATTTCTAAATAAATAATAATATTTGGTTTGAGAAATTTAAACTCTTCAAGCAATAATTTAATCATATATTTTTATAGATTGGTTTCGTTTCTTTTGACTAGTTTACGTTCTTTATATTAACTTTAAATATTATGATAAGTAAGAAAAAAAAATGAATATTCATGAAGACTGTCGATAACCAATGCATATTAAAAGCAAAACAAACAAGGGCAATCAATGGTGGAGACAGGAACAGCTGCGCTTTCTACATTTTAAATAATATAGAGAAAAATGAAAATGATTTTTTTCGTTTGTAATCACATAGGTGCCGATACCTATAATAGTTATAGGTGTTTTCTAAATATTTGTAATATTCAGTTTGAAGAACCCTAATTATGTAAATTTTTACTTATCCACTATTAAAATTTGATTTAATTAATCCTTGTTACTATTAAAATTATTTAAACACCTGTTATAATGGTTTTATTATTTGAAAAGTTATACTCAATTATTAAACGTAGGTTGTTAATATATTATATCTACAAGTTATAGAATATAGATGGATACACAGTGGAAAATATAAAATTAAAATGATCGTCGGTAAACCATATAAGATGTGTCTCGTACAAAATTTACCAACGAGTTGTGCGACGTACCTACCTTTTACAAAAACTTTTTCCCGTAATGTAGGCAGAGACCCACATCACCGCAGTGCACCGTTGGCATTTGCCCCTAATCGACCGTTAAATTCAATACCATTTAGATGGATACATTTATAAGAATCTTTTTTATTGTTATTTTTGAAATATTCGTCACAAATGCATGGAATAATATTTTACGAAAAATAGGTTACAAAGATTTCACCATTTTAAATAGTTAATATGTTATGAATATGCACACACTCTGCATATATTAATATAAAGTTGAATTATTGTACCATACGATCAAATAATCGTATAATTCTGGACTATTAGTTATTAAACGTATTTCATGTTTGTAAGACTCATGATTATAAACAGTACAGAACAATACAATTGTATTAAATCGTTAATTATTTAAATTTTAAGCCACTTAGATTTATTAAAAGAGGGATATGCAATTATATCCAATAGAGTTTTTAATGTGTATTCATGATTGCATGAAATTAAGAAGTTATTAAATTATATAATCTTAATTCGTGTTGTGGTTTTAAATGCAATTATGCTTAGAACAGTTGTTTATAATAAGCTTTTAAACATTATATCGATCATATTCTTTTAATATAGGTATGTTTTATTATGTTTTTTTTTTAAATGGAATTATTTGTATAGCCTTACGTTTATAAATTCCAATTCATATTTAATTATTACATTTAAACAAAACTATAAATAGGTAACTGATAATAATACGAAAAACAATAATACTTTAACTTAGGTGAACGTTATCTAATTAAATGTTTATGATATGAATAACATAATTATTAATTGTCACGTAGAAAAACAAGTAATTAATTGAAACACGAAAATAAACAATTTTTGTTTTAAGAATTTTTTATTTTTTAAATTATAATCTATTGATTTTATTGGGATTAGTACTACTTAAATTTGACTTACATACACACAGTTTATTTGTTTGTAATATATTGTATTATTGAAATGCTAAAAAATATGAATATGTACAACTATTAGTTATTGTAATAGTTATTGTTTTTGAGGAAATATCTAAATCTATATAAATCTCTATCTATCTTAAGCAATATAGGTACCGTTTATACAAATAAGACAGTTGTCTCTATAGAGCCATTTAAATTATTATTTAGGAAAATAATTTTTTTTCACTTATATAATTAATTGGCATAAACTACTATAATAATACGTGATATTTCACTATTTCAGTGATACATTCAAACCAGTTAAGTGCCTATAGTTTAACATTTCAAATTGTTACGACTATACCTATCATCAGAACTAGTTTTGCCATTAAACTTGGTGCAGGAAAAATATAATATTATTATCTTGCTGTTATAATTACTTTTTCAAAATAATATTTAAAACTTAAGGGCTTGGGTATAATTGGGTTATATTCTAATTACATTTCTACGTTTATATCTATATATTTTTTAAATTTAAATAGACTAAAATACCTATATTTTAAGTAGTATTTACTTTAAACTTTTTTTTTCTAAAAATATTCAGTATCAGTACAAATGTAAATTTATGCGGTATTAAGTTGTTTACATGATAACATATTTCAATATTTAACCATTCATACGTTTACTGTGGGCATTAAACAAAACCTATAGCTATACTATACAAAAAAACATAACATTATTTAAACTCATATATATATATATTTATAATTTATTTATTCCACAATTAACAACGATGTTGAATAAGATATAAATACATGTTTATGACCGTTGTGACAATAAATTATGTATCTACTATTTTTGAACAAAATGGAAGTCGACAGGGATATTTTGCAATGAGAAAGGCATTTTGGAAGAATATAATTTTGTTTAGTGATTCAACACAATGACGCGGCTTGATAAAAGCATGAATAGTATCCAAAAAGAAGAACGCCCGGAGACGGAGATTGAGTCACCATCCTAATAAATATCAACTGTTGACAATACAAATTAAGTTTATATAATTAAATAGGAAAAGGGAATCTAACAAAAAATAATAAACACATTTGTTATCAAGGAAAGTGAATACAGATCTAAGGAATCAGGACATCACAGTGCTTATTTTAGTTCATCGTTACATATTCGGTACATAAAAAATAAGGTTAAAAAAATAAAAAAATATTTTAAGAATGAAAAATGTGACGTTACTAACATAATTTTAGTGCCTATAGTATACTCACATTTTTCAAACATTTGTAATCGTATTACTCTTATGTTAACTATAATCATATTATAATATGAATACAGATCACTAAAATATAATTTATTTGTAATTCTGATTCTATTTAAAATAAACTCATTATTATATGTGTTAATAACCATATACAATTGCGTAAATTACATGTGTTTAGTGACCTCTACGTGTCACCAGTTAATAGTTGTAGATAGGTAACAATAGGGGGAAACCGGAAGGAAAGCTTAGTAGGTTATGTAGTATACTGGGTATGTTATTAAAAAAATAATGTCTGCTAATTTGAAATCTATGAATGATTTCGCTTATGTTTTTAAAATGTACTCAACTATTGCTACAATGTGGTTTACAACCGTTTAAATAAATCAATTATATTTTTAGTCTATAGAATTATAGAATCCATACTATAGATATTTAAACAAGTTGAACTGGTTTTCCAGGAATGGCCTTCTGAGATAAAACATTTGTTTATCGAAGAATCATTGTAATTTTTTACCTAGTTTAATATATGTATCTATATTTTTAAATTCAGTCGACGATAAGTTTATCCGTCAAGTTTCATTTGCAGAGTGAGAAATGTTGTCTTTTAGATAGAAAATGACTTGTAAAAGTTACATAAAAATAGTAATGTTTTGATTTCCATATAGCAGGCAATGTTTTTCTAAAAACCCTAACATTTTATTTTTTGATTATACCTGAGTTCAACTTTGGCTTTTTGTATAAAGTTAGTTTTGATATTTAATAGTTTGTAAGAACAATAATGTTAAATAATGCAAATCCTATTATAGTTCATAATTTTAATGAAAAACATAATTTTTTATTCTATACAATTAGGTACCCAATCATCTTAAGTTATAAGTGTAAAATAGTAGAGTGAACTCTGATAGCTTTCTTATTAAATATGTCATAACAACATACATACTGTAAAATTCATTATGTTTTTCGTAGGATACAAATTATCAAAATATCTATTATTTATTATTTATGCATTAAAACAAAAATTAAGTATGTGAATATTAAATCTGAAATATGTTTTCACAATAAGCAAATGTATTGTAAATATATTATATTTGAAAGTTTTGAATTGCAATGAAATTCATAAACATTATTCAGTTTTTATGAAAAGTTTTTATTTTAAAAGATGAATATTCTATGTAGGTATAAAGGCATTCAATCTTCTTTTATCATTTAAATAATTTATATTTTGGCATGCGTTTTCAAAGCTAAATAATTTACAAGTCTTTTAATGCGTTTTTCAATAGCATTATGATTGAACTTTGGTATACCATCTAGCGTTATCAATCATTTTAGTACACATGTACACCCACAGTTTCATTCCTGTTCTGTATTATACATTTAAACCTATTATCAGCATTTTAATTAAAACACAATCTACAAAGATTGTTATTTCTTTGTGGTATTTGCTTTTGTTGCGTATTACATACTTACCTAGTGAATATCATGCAAGACAGGAAACGAATAATTTTTTTTTACTATAATGGTGTTTTTGGTATCGATTTATTTTGTTTGAATCAGATTATTGAGTGTCTCCTTGAACTATTTATAATGAGCTAACTTAG